AGTCAAGCTTTCGCTCTGCCCGATGCTAAGCAATATACTTCGAATTCCAATGAGCTTCTTGGTAAGAAGCATGAGTTCGGAAGGCCGTTCGGGGTTCTGAGAGTCGCCCTGAGTCTCCTCCTGGCTATCCATGGGTGATGATGCTGTGGCCGCTATCAGAGCGGCGAGAGCTCCGGGACCCCCGTTCCCTCCATCTGGCTCGCCACTCCCTTCATCTCTGCCTTTATTCTTCTCCTTTCCGGATGTTTCTTCATCTTTGAAGGTGAAGGAGTTCAGGAAATTCGAGAGAAACTCGGGTGTTTCGAGTGTTGGGAGTTCGACCGCAGCGACCCGCGCTCTCAAAGATGAGAACTGCTCGCCCGCTGCATCAAGAAAGTCCGCAGCTCCGTCTTGTACGTCGCCTATCCAGGCAGTAGATTTTGTCTTGAGCTCTGAAGAGCACGAAACGCCTCGTTAGCCGACCAATATCATGATGCCCACAGGTGCGCACCTTCAAACTTATAATTAGCATATCCAAAAGCTCCAGCTCCCACAGTTGCACCTGCTATTGGTACCCGAAATGCTCTGGCCACAAATCGCGGTAAAGCTGAGTAGGAGATGGCTCGGGCGTGAACGTGACGGAGCGACTTGATAACTGGTGTAGGTGCCCGTCGCCGGACCGCACTTGGTGACGATGTAATTAAGGTACTGGCATATCTCCCTCGAGCTGAGATCGACGGCGACGGTCTTCTTGCAGTCGCTACCTTCCGTCTTAATATTGCGAGCATGTGCGAGTGGTGGTCGACATCCAAATAATAACTGAGGGAGTACATTCCCGCGGTTTCTCGCCTTCCTGGTGCCGACATGACGCGCATGCCTCTCCTGCCGCACGACACCCCTCCACCTTCAAATTGGCCGCCGGATGTGATTTATCTAAGCAAGCAAAGATATGATCCCAAACTTCCGTCTAATATCCGGGAAAAGATTCGAGCTCCTGGATCTGTCAAACCTCTCCCAAAGAACAAGCTGGTAAAAATTCAAGTCATCACCGACCCCAAACATCCGGCAAGAGGTCAACGTGGCCTCTTTGCCAGTCAAAAGATACCACCATCTACCCATATTCTGGATTATCTCGGAGAAGTTCACTCCGATGAACGCTTGGAGTCGGATTACGACCTCAGCTTGCTTCAACTCTCAACTGCAGAAACAGGGAGCGAGAAGGGAACGAGTGCCAGTATCGGACTAGATGCGATGCGCATGGGGAACGAAGCTAGATTCATCAACGATTATCGTGGAACCGGGATTGCGAAGCCAAATGTGGAGTTCAAGGAGAGGGAGGTCGACGGTGAACTGAGAATGAGTGTATGGAGTGTAGCCAAAGGCTTACGGAAAGGAGACGAGCTTCTCGTGTCGTACGGGAAATCGTGGTGGAAGGCTCGAACTGACTCAAAAGGACTTGAAAAGGAGGGCGAAGACGGGGCACCGTAGCACCTTCCTCGGCTCCTCAAATAAACATTGGCCATTCAATTCGTTTTAACATTATGGCATTCAGTTCTTGAAACTCAATGAAAGGATGAATCTAGAGGATGGGGAGCTAAGGAAGGTGACAGTTGGTAGTGGGATCGAACGTACCCTTTGTCAGCGACGAGCCCCCGATCCTTGAGTACGATTGTGTACTGAAAATAAACTATTGAGATCTTGTATTCTGATACTGTGAGTAGCCAGAAAGTCGTTCACCTTCAACACCCAGAGTAAGTCAATTGCTGGTTCGCCTTTAGCTCGCAATTCTGCGAATGATGGAGGAAGTGGAAGCCGATCTGCGAATTCTTTCAACAGGGCTTCAACACCCTCATATGGTACTGTAGCGTTGACCACCTCGTTATCATATTGAGATAAGCATCCTAATGACCCCACTCACCCCTATTATCCGCATGGCTTTGCAGTTCGACGCCTTCCTCCTTCGCTAGGCCCACCAGGGCATCAGGGAGATCTCGTTCGAAATTTAGCTGATTAAGTTGTGGCCTTCGGAGAGAACCATCCTTCGAAATCTTGCTTATTAGGGTGTTGAGGTGGAACGAAGAAAAATCGGAAACACCCAGTGTTTTGAGAGCTGAGTTCTCCGACATATGCTAGACCAAAACCTTGGATTAAGCTTCATAGCCCGATGGTTATACAGCATTTTATCGATCTTACCTTCCAGACGCCGGAGTCGTACAAGAAATTGACCTCTTCCTCTCCCTTCGCACAAACCTCATCCCCGCCAGCCCATCGAACACCATCGAATCCTATCAAGAACCTGTTGAACTCCTTGAATCCTGTCGCTTGCTCCACATATTTCAGAGCTTCGTCAATCTGAGTCTTCCTGTCGACCGAGTCGTGAGGACCATAGAATCGGAGCTTGATGCTGATTTCCGGTGTGTCTTTTGGTCCCGGCTGGCGCCAGGTGAAGTCAGACACTCGAGGTATCACAAGCGTCTGGCCTTTTCCGCTTGATGATAATGAGGATGTTTGCGACCCCTTGTCATCGACAGTCTGGGTGAAATCGTCGGGAGGATTGACGAGCGCCCATGAGCAAGCGTCCGCACATCCATTTGTGCAAGGATCAAGAGCCCGGTGCAATGCTAGGTGTACAGAGTGCAGCACTTCATTGGGATTGACCTGCCGAAGAGCTGGGTTCCAGGAGATTGGATTTCGCGTGGTGTTTTGAGTGAAAATGAGAGCCTTGCAAGGAACCCGAGATTGCTCCTGGAGTTTGGTTGGTGAGTCCGTGGACGGCGAGCACATAACTTCTTGGGTCTTCGTTTCAGAATGGTGGCAAATGGCGTGGCAATAGCGTGAGACGTTGAAGTTGAGAGATGCGGCAATGGTGGAGGTGGATGACGCGATTACTTGAGACGCCGTTGGATGAGGAAAGAACGTTCTGAATTAGATGGAACGCGGTATATATATAGACAGAGAGCCAGAGGTGCCAAGTCAGTCCCGAGAGCGCTATAGTCGTGCAGGGTTCAGAGTCATTTCACTTCTGTGCACACTGTGTAACACTCGGTCTGGCGAAATCCGTGAGAGGTGAGAATATAAGTATTGCGGGCAACGAGGTCTACTTCCAATTATCCGGGCGGCATATGAGACCGTCGATGCAATAACGGAAAAAGTTTAATAATATCTACGATACCAATGTAGTAATAAGGAAATCTGTAGGCCGACAGCCTTCCAAGACCAATCCCTACGACGAAGTGACAAGACCTCATTGGCGCCCAGTCATAGAACCTAGCGCCTACAACTTGCACAGCGACGTCATCGAGCAGCACTAGTCTTCGGGAGACCACCGGTCGCTTGAGCTGAAGACAGCGCCGAAGCACCAACCTCCAGCCCAAGGCACGTTCACTCTTGAAGACGGGAACGCGGACGAGAACACTGATACTCCAAGCCCGAACTTTGATGTCCTATAGAATCAGAATTCGTGCGATGCAGTGACATTGATCAGGATAACAGCTCCGTCAGCTCAAAGGAACTCATTCTGGTACTTACTTCGTGATTGTTCATGGAGAAATTTCACCTTGGGCCAATCTGCTTAGGTCATCAACCCCCACGCCAAACATGCACAAGCCATTCCTGACCGGCTACCCGCATTTCCCGTATTCTTCCACAGTACTTTCACCTGCACTCCTCTCAAAATGAATTCGCCAGCACCGATGGGCTTTATTCCTGCTACTGAAGATCTCGTATTAGGTGGTGTTGGAAAGATGATTCCCAAATCTCCTACCTTAGATCGTCTAGCGACGTTCCTTGGCTCCTATTCTGGGACTGAGTGAGTACTGGCCAGACAAACGTCTTGGAAGTTACACTGACGCGCAGCGTCTTGCTCAGTAAACTGTTTATGGTCTGTACTTTACGATATGTTGGATTCAGTCCCTCTAACAACGCCTCTCAACATTGCGTCATACCGCAGGTCATCGAAACAACCATGAAGATTTTAGTCCCATTGCTGAAATGGAGAGCGCAAATCCGGCATTCTGCAGGCCTGAGAAAGTCTGCAAGTAGCCCGGTAGCGGACAGTTTCTCAAAGATGGCTGGCCTTATCAGCGATTCACGTATGCTGTGGAGGTTCTTCGGTGTGTTCAATCCATGGCGAGTTCTCAAAACGATCCAGATGACGCTGACAGCACACCGCACGCAGGCTTGGTTCCGATCCTCAAATGGCTCTCTGCCATGGAACGAACACCTCAGACAAATCGCCGACTCCTCACTATTGAGCGTCTACAAGCTTTGGCTATGCTCGTCTACTATCCTCTCGAACACTTCTACTACTTCGGGACCCACAAGATCTACAAGTTCCCGGTCAAGAAGCTCTCTAGTCTCGCTATTTGGTCTTGCCGTGCATGGGCCGTCTACGTTTTCCTCCACTTCCTTCACTTGCGCGAGGATTTCAAGCTGCTCGATCAGAAAGAGGATGAATTAGCTAAAAACGCCCTACTCGACAAGAAAGTTGAAGCTGGAGATCTAGTAACAGCCGATCACGCAGCAACACGGGCAGAGTACAAGGCTCTTCAGAAGAAACGAAGAGCTCTAAAGCTTGACCTCTTCGTGAACTTGGTCAATCTGCCCCAATGTGTGCATTGGTGAGTGCTCTCATTGAATATAATCAGGCAGCTGTAAAGTGATTGACAAACATCTACCCCTCGTTGACTTAGGTCGTTGGAGGGAGGCTATTTCAAAAACGAGGTACGCTGGAAGAGACAAGTAGTGCGGAAAGGAGAGCCTAACCCTGACCAATCATGTACTGCAGCACCTTGTGGACTTGTTCGGATGGCTTGCTGGAGTTGCTTCCTTCACATCTGGCTGGGAAGCAACATAGATCGTGGCGCATTTTGTATATTATCGTGGAATACAGGCTGCATGGCTGCGAACTATGGGGCATGATAAGGCTCGGGTGCAGCACCACTCAACGCGCTGTCGCTGAGCAACATTTTGAAGTGGACATGAAGTAGATTGCAAAGGGATCTGATGAACAGCAAAAGGTGAGGTCCATCCCGGATTCGAACCGGGGTTGTCGGAAGGTCTGTAGGTATTTCAACCGATCAGAATCCGAAGTGATAACCGCTACACTAATGAACCAGCTTGATGATGGCCCTCCCGCTTCAATAACTATAACGCACCTACAACGCTCTGCAAATACACTTTCTCCTTACCACTATATGGCACATATTTAAGTAAGTTATACATTGGAAAAGGTGAGTGGTGCTCCCACAGCTGCCGCTGCAGCCGCTGCACCCAGTAGCGCGGCCCTGATTCCCAAACCTCCAACCTCTTCTGCCGAGTTCGATGCTGAACCTCTGATACAAAATATCGGATCTGATGACTCGAACAGATAATGATACTCACCCTGTGGCTACTGATATCGTGGTTGATGGGTTTCCCACCGCGGCGGACGGGTTGAAAGCCTTCGTGGTATTAGACTCCAAAGCCCATGTTATTCCTGCCATGATGTGTGACATGAAAATTTCATTCTACATGACGTTTGACCGCGGTTTGTTAAGCTGACAGACTACCTAGACAACACTTTCGAGAGAATAGACATACCTCCCACGTTGACGAGAGGTGACCGAGCGCCGTATAGAATGACCGTCCAACAGACGAGGTAGCGTCAGAAGCACCAGCTCCTCGCTCTTGGTACCAAGCTACACGAGGGTTTGTTATTGCGTTTTCATTCGGGCTGCTCAGCCTCGAGACTGACCTATTGGATGCGGATCTCCTTGAATGGAAGCATTCGCATGAGCACCTAGTCATTGCGACCGCATCAGAACCCGTAACGGACAGACTGCGGATCGAAGGAAGAGTTTACCGGCAGAGCTTGGGTCCACAGTCAGAACCACCTTTGCCCCTACTGAGCGAGGGTCTTGCTTAAAGTTATACCTACGGTTCAATCACCCTCAGACACGAGGAGATGACGTCGCCGAAAACCACAAGCTTACACTTCCTCCTCATAAGTCCATCGCTCGGGTATCATACTCACAGTAGGGTGAGCCGGTTCAACAGTGTTCAGGAAAGTCTGCAAGCGAGTTCGAAATCAGCTACCTTCGTTCGAATCAGAGGAAGCAAAAGTACTTGCTGCTTGGCCGAGAGTCGGATGGTCCCAGAAGTACGCTCCAAGCTCCCGTTCATAGAAAGTGGCATTGTGCAAACAGTCCGACGCTGAGTGTATGCCGACAAAATTTCCTCCCTTGTCCAAGTAAGCTTGGAAAGCTGTTTGCTGCTCGGCGTTTATTATATCGTTGGGGGACACGTCAGTGACCATCAGAAAGAGAATTGCATCATAGGTGGCAAGAGTTTCGTCGGTGAACGTGGTCGCATCTTCTGTTTGATCAAATTCAACGTTATGAGAGGGACCCGCAGCTTTCAGGGCGTTGATGGCATCCGGGATGGACTCTTGCAGGGCGAAAGGAGATATCGAGGATATATATAAATCCGGATGTCAGGTTTTGCTGTCAAAATCATATCTCGATCTTACCATGTCGATAGCCATTTGTGGCAGAGAAGATGAGGACTTTGGCAGACTGCGAAGCAACCATGGCCATCAAGCTGAATGCGAACACGGCTCTTATAAGCTTCATGGTCAGCCAGCAGTCGATGGATGGAGACGAACGATTAAGGAGGGCAGCAAAAGGAACTGAACTTGCATCAGCTCCCCTTGGCAACTGATCGGGTGATGTCACTCCAGACTTAGGCCAAAGTGCCTGGCAGGCGAATAGCCGGCAAGTTGCCGACGTCGGCTTGGTAAGCCAGCCGGCGGCTTAAACTCTGCCATTCGCACGACCATCCCAAAAGTGCACCGCGTCAAAGCCTTGGAGCCTGAAGCCCCCAACGACATTCAAAATCAACTTAATGCCTGAAAAATCTGCCACAAGTGCACCCAAACTTCCACCGGGCACGGTTCTCGGACCTGACGGCAAACCCTGCAAAATATGCAATGTCAGCTCTTTCAAAGCAGCCGCTCGAGCCCAAGCGAAGGCGGACCCATTACCCGCACCATCATCGGGATCGACGTACTCATCGACAGCTACCGCATCAGTTGCCGGAGTTGCTGCTACGATTGGGGCGGCTGCATCAACAACGCGTTCGAACGACTGTCCTCCAGACGTCGAAGACCTCGGCAGAGCGACTTGGACATTCTTACACACCACTGCCGCATATTACCCTGAAAATCCAACGTCCTCTCAGCGCTCGCATATGCTAAACCTGCTCAAATCGCTGCCAAACTTATATCCCTGTGGATGGTGCGCGTCACATCTGAAGGAGAACATGGCCATTCATCCCCCGGACAAGGTTGTCGGCAACCGCGTATCGCTGAGCAGATGGCTCTGCGACAGGCATAATGACGTGAACGAGAGGCTCGGGAAGCCGATATTCGATTGCAGTAAAACAGACGAGCGGTGGAAGGATGGACCGAAGGGTGGAAGCTGTGATTAGAGTGGCTTTGGATACCTAATGGAGTCGCAGGATGTAAATTCAATGCATGGCCGATGGGAAGTAGTGAGCATCGAGGCAAGTTCAAGACAGGCGCATCGATCTAGTTCAGGGCGTTGAAAGCGAAACGACATCATAAACCTGGTTTTCGTATATTAACCTTCGACAATTACTTCGCTGGATTGGTATGTACAATATGGGGGCAGAGACGCGTTCCTGGCGCGAGGGGAACCCGTAGGTTTTGATCTCACATCGGGTCTAGATATGTCCCTCGCCGGACAGCCGCTGACGCATTCGAGAAAGAAGGTTCACGGCGTGGCCTGATCTTCACTCGTGCTAACAAGCGAGTCATAGTGTTATCATTGGGCTCGTGGTCTAAATGCTGCGTGCATTCCATCTCTGACGTCGACGGGTTTGAGCTGGAGCATATATTGCGCCAACGCCGGCCTCGATTCAGCTCCACCATCACGTTTAGGGCTTGTTACAGAAACATCAACCGTCATTCTTTCGTGCTTCTTCGAGTGATCTTCGCCCATAGAATTGAGCAGTGCCAAATATATCAGACGGGCACTAGGCGTCATTCGTGGATATCCAGCGAGCGTTCCTCATTGCGGCGGGCTTGGACATCGACAGGCACATCCAGCTAAGAGCTGCTTCCGAAAATTTCATTTATCATTCTAGCAAATTTCTCTTCTCTCCGCGAGTGCCGTCGAGGGCGAAAGCAGGCCCCCAGAGTAACGGCTGTCCAATCCAAGCCCTCATGCATCGCCAATAGGACCCTTGCGATCCAAGTACAATCCATGTTTACTGTTAAAGAGAATGGAACTTCAATCCTTGGTCCTGCGTTTGTCGGGCTCCCAGCTTGAATCCGAAGAGAAGCGAACATCACATGAGGTTGAGCTCGGAATGCCCGAGGCCCATCAAATGTGTGGGGTCGGAGGGATCGTCATGATCGAATCGGGTGGCTCATATCCACCTTTGAAGAGCCGATGTCGTGTCGATCCTTTGGTCGGCTCAAGGACGTGGGTACAAAAGGCAGAACGTTTGGCCACGCGCCATTGCGTCATACGTTGTTCTCAGGGTCCAATGAGATCAGACTGACGGCCTCACTGCCCGTTCCTTGCGCGGTCTTAACGCTCCTTCCGCAGCGTTCTATCAGCGAGATCCATTTCATCTCTGCCTCCTCAGGATCAGCTTTCTGGTTAACCGAAGACTATCAACGTCATGAGTGCCACATTTGGAAAGATGAGAGCTCAACCGTTGAAATCCACCTGCCAGTGGGTCTGAAGATTCGTCGTTTGAAGAAATGACAACTTGAGGTTCGAGAACACCCAATAAGTCGAGTTTCCCAGTTACAAGTGGGTCTGAATATGTAATAATTGTGGATAGCGAGCTTCGACGGCGTAGTGGATTTAACGGACTTTGGAGCGGGTGGCGTTCCTGCCATGACATCACAGAGCACTCTCCACGGGCCACTCGATTGGGACTGCCAGTCTCCATATATAAGAGGCCCTCCGGGATGCAAGCTTGGACCATCAGAATCCATACATCTCTTTCGACCTACCCAAAACTACTCTCGGACTACCCATCCTACATCCTACCCACTTCCACTCTACCGTCCATCTGCATCTTCGCATATTTGCAATGGCAACCTCAGCAACCGCCACACGCTCTTCTCGTTACCCCAAGATGGTTGGTCCCCAGGACTTACGGTCTTACACTCGATCACTTCATGAATATACCACGGGCGTGAGTCCGGGACCACTCCCGATTGAGAAAAGGAGTTGTATCTGACTGAATTGCTATTAATATGTCTTTCGTCTTGCAGTTATGGTTGCAAGCCAGAGAAAACGCAGAGCGCCAAGCTAAGCAACGCGCAGAAAAGACAGGCAAGGAGAGTTCGAAGCACAAGAGAAATTCCAGCGCCCACCGATGAGCGCGTCAGCTCATTTTCCCTCTCCCCGGCCCCGGAAAACCCCTCCTATGGTGACCCTCATTTCCCCTCCATGCCTGTCGTATAGTGCACCCGCCTGTCATGGCCCTATTCATTCCTACATCGCCACCTCTTGCCCTCCCCTCATCCCATGGACGTTTTTCGCTGTCTGATCATCACCTTTCTCTGCCCCTTGTCCGTATATCGAATGTGCGCTTGCTGTCATGATGTATCCATAATAATTTTTATTCTAACTGAGACCTATGATGACCCTCGCATCCGGCACGCTCCACCAGCAATGACGCTGCCTATCCGCCAAGGAGCCTTCGTGTACAGTTTGGTGACTGACCCACTACTCCAGGACCGTCGCCCATAGCGGGGCCTATTCACGTCAGATTATTGTCGAGATTATTGTGACGCAGAACAGTGACGGGTACACTTGCCGCCTGACGTCCTGACCACCCGATCAGTGGTCACGAATATCAGTGCGATGCCTCAGAACTCGGTCGCACAGACTTTCATGGTTACCGGCTGGCTGACGGATGCATCTTGAAATAGCTTGCAGCTTCTGAAACTGGCCCAGCTCCTAAATCGACAAGTCGGCAAGTCCATTCTCCAACTCGTAGGCACCAGCCACGAGGCACAGATCCGCAAGAAGATCTTCTCCAAACCCCCATATGTAAAAAGTACCGTGCAAGTGGTCAACTGCATGCTGACA